GTCATTCAATGTTGTTGAAGTAAGTGAATTTTTAATTAAACGGCATATTGACATCTTGATATTTCAGCATTCTCATAAAAGCTTTTTTCTTTAGTGGGGCACACAAGTGGAATATTTATGAATGCTCTTTACAGTGTTTACATCATCCCTTGATATTAAAGTAGCACTACTGAAGTAGTCATTGCCTCCTTCTGCTTAACAAAACCAGAAGATTAAAACATGATCATTTAGTCATATACGGAAAAGGAAGATTCACATTAATATCAGGTCAGATGTTTTATTTTTCAACATTTTAGAAGTTGCACCTGCTAAAATAGACTGATGCGTTGCAGGATGCTTTATCTTGCATTTATGTAGCAGGAACTGTTTTTGCCATTAGGGGTGGATTATTGTAAGAGTAGTTTCCTGATGACATCATAGTAAATTCCAGCTGCCCAAACAGTTCTTTTCCAGAAGAGGTTATCTGTAGTGCACTTGCACAAAATTACACTTAAAAGGGCACTCATAGTTCCCTTGGGACTTATAAACCAAACCTTTTGTCAAATCCTTAGTAAACACAGAATTCTTTGTTTTCATTCTGTGGCAGTGGAAACAGTATGGGCACTACTGTAATTTGTGATTCTGGATTAAACAAATAAAAATTACATTATGCAGGGCAAGAGAAATGGAAGTCTGCAGTGCAAACTTCCTGTCATGAAGGGATAGATAGCACAATGGTTCTCAATTGTTCTTTTTCTAGAGAATTTTTAGGCTGGTGGCATAAAGATAAGGGCATACAGGTTGCAGTACCTGGCCTGAAATCGCACCCCTCCCTGTCCAATTGAGATCCTTGAAGGCATGGGTAGCCACAGAGCAGGAGAGGATGCTGATTGAGAAGCTAGCCTAAGGGAGTAGAGATTCATTTTTGTATGGGATGTTAATTTATAGGGGTATATGTCTTTCCTAGAGTAAATCTCGATTGATTACAGTTGATTGGGTTTTTTTGTTTTTAAATAGTAGCCTAACTGCTTGGACAAGCTTTTTAGGTAATGTCTTGAAGGCTGCATTAGAAATTATCATGCCTAGTCACATAATTCAGAGGGTTTTTCCCAGACTTAAGAAGCCATATTAATACGGAGTCAAACATTTCTGGCAATTGCTGTATTTGAAATGAGTATTAATATATATTTAATGAAGAATACACGATCCTATCATTGACTCTTTGATAAATCTTGCAGCAGGAAAATAAAATCTTGGAGTTTTACCAGTTTGTTGGACACTAAGAACATCAAATAACTATTCTCTGCCAATTCTTTCTAGAAATTACAGTATTCTGCAGGGATTTTGAATAACATGTTATTCCAAGGATCATTTAATTTTAATAATGGTCTTTATTAGCTGTATTACTCTATATATGTTGAAAACATCATGCAGTTTTTAATGAACTTTCACAACATGTCTGTGAATTGAATAGCTCTTTGGTAAGGAGAGTGGCAGCAGTGGGGAAAGTTGGCAGATTAACTGTTCATAGAATTCAAGATCTTCCATCTCACTGCTCTGGCCATTGATTTCTCCTGCACTCACTGATTATCTGCTTCTAGTTATCCACATGTGTAAGAGACTGCCAAGTCAAGACCTATGATGCAAATCCTGCATTGATTTCTTTCGTTCTTTTATTCTTCTCAACGTTCACATGCAGGACAAAACCCCCTTTTTTTCCCAGTCATTTTCTCTTTCCCTGACACTCTCATCTACTTACTGGTACTGCTTTGCTCTCCCATTGAATTCGTTGAAACTTTGTGTTAGGTGCAGTTACCTTCCATCCTTGTTGGTCCCACAAAGTCTTCCAGGAATGATTTGCATTACCATTCAGCATATAAATCTAACATATATCAAATGCAACCACCTTCTCTGTGGAGTAAATCTTCAGGTTTGTGACTTCCCAGACCTCTTTAATGACAATGAAGTCTTTCCAGTCCCTGTAAACTGTCCCACTGAGGCTAACACTAGTTTGGATCAGTAGTTGCTTTTCCTGTGCATTTGACAAAACCATAGATTTCTCACTTGCTTTTTAGCATTTTATATGAGTGGGTGAGGTGGCTTTACTGGAATGATTTTATCCGTCTCAGAAAGTCAGGTGGATCTGATGAAAATGAGTGGTCTGACTCCTGTATCTGCAGGGGGACAAGTGTTGTGCCAGGCCCCCTTCTCACTCCTACACAGTGCTGGAGATTTCGGAGGTTTATGTATTTTTATGTAAGATCGGTACCTCACCACTAGGATTCTTGCACTCTTAGCTTTTCTATATTCCTCATTTTGAGGATGTTATTTTGGTCCACGTTCAGGAGAAGATTCTTTCTTCTCTGGAGAAAGTTTTGAAGTGATGGAAGCATGTAAAAAAAATTAGTTTTGTTTGCTGATAATAACTCAGTTTGATCCCAGACAATTTGTGATGAAAATGCTTTTTTCCTCACTAATCCAATGTTACGATAATTACAAGCAGCAGATCAATAGCGGGAAGTATAGAGTTGGAAGTGTTACTTCAGATATTAAGCCACAAATTGATCTCCCTGTCAAACCTTAAGTAAGTGCTGTATCAACACATATTTCAAAGATTGGAGGATGTTCTGAAATGTAATAGTGATGGACTGAAGAAAGGAGAACAATAATTTTTTTTATGCAAGTGTATCAACTCTTTACAGCCCAAATCTACACAATCCTGCTATTATCTCATTGTATTTTGCACTCACATGTTACACCAGTGATTTCTGACTATTGCTCCACTTGGCTCCGATAACATATGGGATTATCTTTGGGTAATAATGATCCTCGCTTGATTTAGAAAGAACCACCAGTATTTGCACATGATCCAACAAAAGTCTTGTGCAACTGTCCAAGTATTCCAGCATTTATATGGCAGATATTCTAATCCAAGTCAGTTATTGACCAAAATAATTAGTTCCTAAGAAAATAAAGACAACACCAGAAGACCTTCATATCGCATAAGATTCTTGAATTTCCTTGGACAACTGATGACTGTTGCAATTCAGCAAACTGACTAAATCATATTGACCTGCTCTAAAGAAAGTAGAAGAAAAAAATCTGAGAAATTCTAGAAATCTTTGGAAAAAGAAACAGAAAATAGAATTTTATGGGTTGTAGTTTTTCTTCCAAAAACTAAGACACTTACTTAGTGTTTTTGAGATCACTTTTCCCTCTTAATGGGCAGATGTATGAAAGTTGTCCTTATACTACTATAGGCACACTAAGGTTTTAGAAGCTACAAATGTCACTGCTCAATTCACTTTATGGTGTTTCTTTTATAAGCCATTAAGAAAGATTGAAAGGAGTAACGTGTCTCTGAAGAATTTGTTCTTGAATATGTTTTTTAAGTGTTGAACATTGCTGCGGCTCAAATGTAGTTCATTTGAGAAGTCAGCTTCTCCTCTAGGAATGCTTGCCAGGTACGTGCAGTGATCTTGGAAAAATAGTTTTTGCTTTCTGTGGGTTGTCTCTCCCCTGATGAGTGTATGGAAGGAGCACTTAGGAGTGTGAGGTTTGGGTTCCTCTCTTCCTAATGCTAGGAGATCCTGCAGGGGGAGGTTTGGTGAATCGTTAATTTTTTGTTGTTCTTCAGGTAAGGGCTGCTATTTTTTCTGACAGTACTGAGTCTTTTGAATTTCTTTTGCTAGTGCAGAGATGAAGACTTTTGACTGGCCCTGAGTAGTCAGAGCAAGAAGTCTCTTTGGTGTAAAGCTCTCTCACCTGCTAACCAGTCAGTCCTCTTGAGTAGAGATGACTAGCTGAGCAGTCAGAACTTCCTCTATTTTTCCTAACAGAAATCACTCCTGTGTTTAACTGTTTATTAGTATGAGAGGGAAGGAAGGTGGTAATTCTCAGGTCTTGGCCACCACTGAAGCCTTGTCAGCCAGTTATGATTAGCTTGATTATTTAATTACTTTTCCAGCACTAAGAATATGTATTGCTTCACAGTGGTGAACAGAGGAAAACTGCAGGTTTCCCTTCAGCAGAGTGAGAAGGCTTTTCTCTAGTCTAGCCTTTTGTTGTTACAGCAACGTTTCCAGCTGCGGTACTTCCTTGCTGCCAAGTAGTAGTAAATAGCTGTATAAATCATAGTAATGCTTGTACCATTCAGGTACAGCTGATTGCTTTTTGACTCTAATGGGTGTACATACGCTTATTCCATATTTCAAAGTTAGTTGTTAGTATTTCTGTAAAAGGAATAGCTTTGGGAATTGAAGAATAAACACTTTTGAAGTGCTTCATCTTCAAACTTTGAATTTCATTCCTCACTTGAAGCACACACAGTTTTGTTTAAATTGTATTTCAATTTTATTTTCTCCAAGACTGTCTTCAGAACTAGAATTCAGTAGCCATGGCCTGCCTGACCCAGAGGGCAGTCAATAACAGTGCAGGTACGTTTAATTTAGGACAGCACATATGGACTGCTGCTGTCCATGCTACTTACAGGCAGAGCTCAAAACGCTGGAGAGAAGTGGTGACGTGTCTTGGTGCCGGCACTTTCAGCCTGGAGCCTGGCAGAGTTTTGATGAGTGCAGTTCACATTTCTCAAGAGAGGATGGGTAGGTAGGAGGCCCATGTGGACGGGAAATTCATTGCCACTGGAGAAGGGTGAGCGGAGCAGTGAGAAGACTGGGAAGGGCTAGTGTCCCGAGTTGTTTGTTCTCGACTACCTTCATTGTACAGAGCCATAGGTATGCCTGGCTTTTTGTATAACTGCAAACGATAGTTTGCTGTAAAATCTTACACTCAAAGCTGAATGAGATGTGGGACTAGGATAGCTCTTGAGGGTGAAGAAGAGGAAGAATATATGTTATGTGATGCGTTGCTTTGGGTTCTTTCTGATTAAAGAAACCTGTCTCTCCATAGGCACTTGCTGACTTGCAATGAAAGTCAAAACAGATTTTACTGAAGGGAAAATAATAAATAGGGGGGAAAAATCGGACTGCTTGTTATCCTTTTTTTCAAAGCATACTGAGATGGACCTGAAGTGGAATCCTGGCAGAATTCCTCATCTGGCCTCAGCTGCAGTCTGGGTGACTGATTTGAGTTGGCGAGGCAACCTAAATCCCAGTCCGCTGATTAAAGATGACAGAGAACTACTTATGGATGAATACCTTTCCCCCAGGAAACTGGTGAGTAGACATCCAACTTTTTAATGAAGTAGAAGAGGCAAACTGGCATATACAGAACTGTATTAACTTAACCTTCCAGCTGTTCTTGTGATGATGGCAGATTGTTGCTTATCTGACAGACTTCTGCATAAAGTTGATTCTGTCTTACAGAAATTTATAAAATGTTTGTCCTCCTTTCACCTTGTTTCATGTAAAAAAATATTCCCAGCATGAATGCTGCTATCTTTATTGCTAGGTTTCTTGAAGCAGCGTGAAGAAAAGTACGGGTAGCATAATTATAATTTAAACAGATCTCATTAATGCCATCTGAAGTACCTTGAATCTTAGCATTAGAAAAAGCTTTATACATTAACCTTGTTCTAGAGATTGGAAATGTAACTTTAAAAGCACAACTTTTTTCTGAATTAGTGAAATCCTCTGTCCTGCTAAGAAGCCAATTAAGATATTCTGCAAGTGCTAGAATTACTTTCTATATATATAAAAGTGGGCGAAGTTTCAAAGCACATTTGAAAGCCATGTTCTTTTTTGACCGGGGGAAATAATTTTGGCATGCAGCCTGTTGAAAGAGAGTAACGTGCTGAAATCTTAATGAAGGAATTCACTTTGTGAAATATTCGTGAAGGAATACTTGATTGCATATTGTGCTGTATTTGCTCAGGACTAATTAAGGGTGAAATCCTTTGGGACATGCAGGAGCTGAGAAAATAACCTCACTTATCCCAGCTAAAGGAAGGGATTGCTGACAGCAGAAGTGAAGGGGAGAAGCTGCAGCTTTCTGTGTTGCAGACCTGGGTAGAAATTAGTGAAAGACAGATGGGGCCAAGGCTGTGGTTCGGATATTCCCAGCAGGCAGGGTGGTGAGTGCGGTGTCCCTAATCCTGTGTGCATCCACTGCACTGCTGGAGAGACACTAGCTTCTGCAGGGGGCATATTCCAGCTGCAGGTTTACACCACTCCCTGACTATATACCAGTCACAATTTTGACCATGTGCTGTAGATCAGACAGCAAGTTGTCTCAGAACTACCCTTCCCTTACTAGCTAAGTCTTTTACTGTTTATAAAATGTTTGGTGATGCAAAAATCACTTTCTGCAGAGTGTATATTTTAAGCTTTCTTTCTGGAGAAAAATCGATATATGATCTTATGATCTATGCCATTCACTTTTCTTTGGCTTATGTGAACCTCTGACAACTTCATGGTCTTTTTTTAAAATCTGGCATAGAGTTTGACCAGTCTAATGTGTTTGTGGCCTACAATACCCTGTATAAATCCAATGGGAGTCTCTCAGATTAGTCTGTTTTCTTAGGGCATGAACCAAAGCCCATTAGAGTAACAAAAACAGTTGCCCTCTGACTTCAATAAACTCTGAATTAAACCCTTAGGAAGTTGTTCTGTTGGCATGAAATTCTTCTCTTTCTGAAGCTCTGCTGCTTTTAGTTCACAGTAAATTGTAAGCAGAAAAGTGTATGTAAGGCAATGTTACCCACATCCCACAAAGCTGCAGGTCATTATTTTGTAATATTTTTTTAAAATACAGATCAGAAGTTAAATTGCCCCCCAATTCTAGGCTATTTTTGAAAATGGGAAAAACCCCTTTATTATTCATGTGTACCCTCTTGAACTTAATCGAGTCTTGCTTCTTTAAGATAGTGTGTATGAATATTTGTAAGGAATTCCATTTCAAAGATTCTTTAAAATGGATGCATACTGCCCTACTAATTTTTCTGGACACAGTCATTTCCTGGCCCTGGAACCTGACAGTTGTGTTGGCATAGCTAGGATACTTCCTGCTCAGAGGAAAAATTATATGACATTGTCAAGGAAACATTTACAATGTTTATAGCTTGTTTTATAACATATCCAGTCTATCTATTCTCCGACCTTTATGTTAATCAAATGGAAACCGCTGCTTCCATAAATTTACTTCCTCTGGATTTGCAAATGTAAAAATAGAGACACTGTTCAAACATTTAATCCGAAACAAGTTTTTACATGCATATTTTTTTAAGGAACTACATGCCATTGATAACCCAATGGTTTGAAAGGTTGTTTTGCTTAAATCAATACACTTGCAATATCTTCTTGATTGTCATTTATTGTGTATATTTTAGGAGTTACTGATAGTATTCACTGAAGTGCTCTGAGAAGGAAACTAATAGATTTTTAAAATACATGCTCGTAAGGTAAAATTATTTTATGTTCAGATAAGGACATAGGCTCCAGTTCTGCAGTGTTGTGTAGGCAGGTTTCTGGAAACCTGATGGAGGTTCCTGAGGAAGGTTTTTGTTCTGAGACAGATACTCAGCTTTACTTCTTGCCCTTGCAATGTTCTGTCTCGTACCAGTTCAGTTTGAGCTTGAGGAGGCTGGAAGGTCTAGCTGTGCAGAATCTGTGAAGATTGGGCGCCTTGAATTGCAGCCTGTGGCCCCATCTCTAGCTGCACATTTTACTCATTTTGTCCTTTTTCCAGGGGATGGCAGTCTGTTTAGCAGTGAAAACATTAGCAGTCTCCATTAGCAGTCCTTATTATTAAGGACTCTCTAAAAGGTGTGATACCTGTATTCTTTCACTTTTTTTTCTGGGTTGTTTTCCTCTAAAGAGAGGAAAGTTTGGCTTAAACTGATTCTTACTTTCTTCTTTTTTTTTTTCTTTCCTTTTTGCCTTCTTGGACCCTATAGCACATAAGACAACTTCCACAAAACCATTGGTCCCTTGCCTGTTCTCTTCCTCTCCATAGTGGATCCTCACCTCACCTAAATCTTATGCTTGCTCACTACAGGGTTTGTGGTTTTCTGTGGCCTCATTTCAGCATAATGTTCACTTTAAAATCCTATGTGATTCCATATCCCTGTTATGTTAATCGCATCTTCTGTAGTTTCTGCTTACTGCCATCTCTGTTGCTGCAATGTCATGTAACGCCCTTTCATATTTGAATACTCTTCATCCAAGCTACAGGTCAAAAGCTTTTGATGGCAAGGGTTGGTATCATTAGATGTTCTTTTCATTCTTTCTGCTAATATCAATGTCAGTTTTCTGTTGTACTGTTTAATCTTCATCTACATGAATAGGTGTTCTTGCTTTTCCATTTGTACCTGTCCTGCTAATATTTCCAGCTCCTTGCTCTGCCTGTACTTGTGTTGTGCTTACATGTTGTTGTCAGATGTTGTAGAATACCAGGGTGAGCAAATTCCCTATTCTCCCTTTGTTCTGAAAACTGGCTATTAATGGGCAATACATGGCAATTAATTTTTTACTTTATTAGGGCTGTGGCACAGATTTCTCATTAAGTGTGGAGGAACTGAAATTAAGGTCTCCACCTGTTTTGAATCAGATTTTTGTTTTGTTCTATTAACCCCCATCCCCTCCCCACTGTTTGCAAAGAATCCTTTCCTGACTTCCACAAAAAGCATTCCACTTCACAGAATAAACTAATTTTACAAGGTCAAATGATCTTCCAGATATTGTCACATTATCAAAACTAATCACATTTGTGTGTGATGTTTAGAGAAGAAAGTAAGTATTCTTCTCATTTCGCTGTTTATTGATCCTGCTCCAGTTAATCATGTTTTTTTAAACTTAGGAACATGTGTTTGGAAGTCATGTTTAGTTTTGTTGCTCAGGAGGTTAGGGTGTATTTCATGTGGTATGCACTCATCCTCATGGGGAGAAGAAAATCCTGGAGGGTCCTGGAACAACAGATTGGATTCTTGCTGAAATGGCTTAGTTGTTTCCTTTTTCCTTCACAGAAGGTTTTCCTCCCAGTTGTAAGCTAAATGGATTTGAGAAAAAAAAATGGAGATCAAGGAAGCAAGTGCAAAATCTTGATAAATTAAGTGGAGTCAAGGAGATGGAAGTAACTGACTGAAATTGGATCTGCTGAATTCTTCTTTAGAATTATATAATAATTTTAAAAGTAATAATTTAAAAAAAGGTTTGAAGGGACCTCTGGAGGTCTTCCAGTTCGATATTCTGCTCAAACCACAGCTAGTTTCAAAGTTATATCAGATTGCTCAATGTAGCAGATAGTAGTAAACTTAATACTGTGAACAGCAAAAAAATTATGAAGCCTCATTTAGTTTCAGAGTTTTCCTTTTATATGTTCTTATCCTAATACTAATGCCTTTACTACAGCGAAGGCTTTAGTTGTTGTATTGCTGTTCATCCTGCTACTTAGGCATCTGATGTTTTGCATTCAAATTGTCACATCAGGTATCTTTATATTTATATGCATACACACACATATGCATGCCTTTATATGAAAAAAACTCAGATTTTTATTTGCATACAGTCACAGCTGCTTAGCTGACATAAAATGGCAGATTACATTCTTAAGTTTTGCATGTTCAGTGGCACAACACTGAGGAGTGATTGTAGCTACTTATGCAACTAATTGCTAGATAGGAAAAATTAATACTGGGGTATGACTTTTTCATAACTCTGTGAAGGAAAGTAAATCCTTAAAACAAATTTAAAGCAAAGATTGATATAAGAATATCTATTATTCTGTCCACTCCTGACCTGCTTGTTAATTCAGTGCATAGTTAAAACTGAGCTTGTCTCCTCCTCCAGAAATGATACAGGCTATTTCTGGGAGATAGCAAACCTCCTGTATAGTTTCTGGTGCCCCATGTGCCCTTTGAAGTTTGTGATAATTAGGAGGTCTCCCAGCAACTTGCAGCATCAGACCCTTAATACGGGTTCAAAAAAAGAAGGTGTCAGAAGGTGCCAGTAGTGTGAATCCTCAGCACGAGTCAGTGGGGAGCTGAACTGGAGATGGCAAGACTAGGCAGGAGCCTATCCATGTAGATCTGTTGGTGTGACTTGGAGGCTTCGGCACAAGAATAAAGACTTCTTTACTAATGCATCCACCACCACTTAAATTTCATAATTATTACCCTCATCTACACTTTTCATACAACCCAAGAAGATCTCTCTATCACAGATTGAACGCCTAGCTAATCTCTTCATCTGAACTGAGAGAATGTATTTGTATGTATATGCAGAAAGCAGTGAAATACAGCTAAATATTGTAATTATGGGCATCTGCAGCGTTTAGCCATTTTGAAAGGAAGATTGCATGTGGGACCACAGGGAAGTTCTGTTCCCTCTCATTGAAAATCCTTTGACTTAGAATCACTTAAAAACCTTCTTCTTAGAAGAAATATTTTTTCATACTTAAAGCAACATTAATTTTTTTGTGCAGGGAGAGACTATACTTGAGTTGGGAATTTGAAATAAAATCCCTGCAAAAAGCAATGAACACATGAATGGACATGAATCCAGTATTTGCATACAGGTGTAGTATTAAAAGAAAATAAGCTCACCACTCAGGAATTCCCGTCTTAGCCAAATTAACCAGGATCAGCAAAATAAATGCACAGCTGGAAATGCTTCTCTGACAGCTGCATGCAACACGCTCTTCAGCAACATATCTACTTTTCTTACAGTATGTGAAAAATCTACGGCAGAGAGAAGAAATCAGTTGTATACACCAGCTTTAATTAAACAGATATTATTTGCCAATTGAGGAATTTACAGAGAGTTGCAAGTGGGACTTGAGCTGGATTTCCCAGCATCCCCAGGTGACTGTTTTGCCAATTGAGAAGCTCTGCAAGCACAGAAGTATTTTTTCACTTGCAGTTTTTTACAGAATACTTATTGGCTCTTCTTGTCAGTCAGAGGACAAGCTTTCCAAACTAGTGCACACTTTCCAGTTAGATATTGGCCAGACATTTTGCATGATAGGAATGGTTTGTGAGCCATCATGGAGCTGCTTCTTTACATACTGGCTAAATTATTTACCAATAGCTCCTGCATGGTCTCATGGAAAATAGTTTTACTCCTATTTTGAAGGAGGTGCAAAAATGTAAAGTGAACTTTATCCATCTTTGTTTTACTTATCATGTGTTCATCTTCAAAGAATTGTGCAGTGCTTTACCATGGAAATTTATTCTTTCAAATAAACAAATTTAGGGTGTAGTATAACGCTTGCTTCCCAGAATCAAGCTGTTAGGCCACCTTCTTGAACATCATGTGCCAGAAAGATTTTGAAGTCTGATTCTTCAGAAAACATCCTCCTACTCTATCATCTAACCAATACCTACCTTGCTGCACAGTAGATGGATGGCAAGAAGAATCCTCTCTGAACACCAACAATCAGCGTGGAATTATAGTTAGTTTTTTCAAGGTATCTTTTTGATGTAAAATAACTCTGAGTATATCCAACTCTGCCTAGAACAGATCCTTGGTCCCTTTTTGTCTGCTCTATGTTGAGGCTGAGCAGCCGTAAACAGCCAAAGAAATCCCTAGATGGCACAGCACCTTCATGTCTGTAAGCATTCCTGGGGCACAGGCAGAGACAGCTTCTGTCCCAGGCTGTTAAAACAGCCCTTTGAGCTGTGGGCAGACAGTCTTTACCTGAAGCCACAGTGGGATACCTCTGAATTAGGGCAGGAGCCTAGACCTGGTGTGGCCAGAGGAACAAAGAGATGTAGAGCGCCTTCTTAGCATCACTTCTATCCCTGTGGTGCCAGACATCTCTGTCCAAGTTGATGATTGCTTCATTGTGTTTGGCCATGATTTTTTTTTTTTTCCTTTTGTTACCCAATAGCAGCAAAATTCTTCCTAAATATCCCTCCTTTCAAATTTTGATGAAGGTTCCTGTGCTTTGACATTAAACAACAACATAAAAGGGAGATCCTGCTAAATATGTGTCATCTTTGTTTAAACATTTCCATGTCCTTCCCTAAATCTCCCCCATTCCTGGTGCCAGAATTTTAGCTGTGACACGTGAAGCATATTGCACTTCCAGCTGCACCAGTATGCCAAGAAAGGTGTCTGGGGAGTAGGAGTGTCCTAACTATTTTCCACAGGAACTGTTCACCACGTAACCTCTTGAACTGCCGCCCTGGCCTTTTGCTTGCTAACTAGGTTGCAGTCAACACCTGGGGTCTCTGTGCTTCTAGTGCCTTTAAATGAGCTCATATCCTCAACCCAAGAGCGTTTCTCATTTCCTTCATGTAGTACAACAGCTTTTGCATCCCACAGCCAATCGGTTCCAAACTCTCCAGGCACCTCCTTGGTATCAGCAGATGGAAGGACAGTGACTTTCACAGAGACTCTTGGAAAAGCAGAACAGGGAAGTGGGGACCAAGAACACATGGAGTCTGTTGCATCTGTTTAGCACATGCTTTAAGGCAGCTATCTATAGTTCAAAGAGCTGGTGATGGCAACTAATAACCCTTTCCAGCACTGGAGCCACAGCTCTGCTTGTTGCAGTACAAAATATGGATGCGCTAAGCAGCTCATCTCTCAGACAGGGGAAAAAGTACAAATGGTGGATCTGGAAGAGGAAAAGGAGGGCAGAGAAGCACACTGGTAATTCCTGGTATGAGGAAAAGGAATAGGTAACCCTAGAAGAGGAGAGAATATAACTTTATGCAGCTTTTATGCTTGGATTTTGAAAGAGGAGAACAAGAAGCAGAACTGTGAAAGGAGGCTGTCTAGGATACAGCAGAAGGAAGAACAGTGTGCAGGGAACTTGCAGACAGCAAAGGAGAAAGGCAAAGGCTCCTCATGGTGCCAGGACCTTCTGCTACTCTACTGACAAAGTGTATGACCCTACTTGTTCTGAGACTTCTTCCTATTCTGTCTTCTAACAATGTAGGCTCTTAAGACTGTTTTGATGGGGAGGGGGGAGGTATTTTTCAGAAGCAGCTTCCTTTAATGACAATAAGCTTGTTTCCAAGTCCAGCAATCCAAGTGCATGGTTGTGTGCCAGGACATCAGCTAGCTCTTGTTTCTCACGTACTCTCGTGCTATATGACAGGCAGTGTCATGTGCTGAAAAGGGTTACTGCAAAATGTGTCTTGCAGTGAGGGATCTTGTGTTTACTTGGGGGGAGAAAGCAGTCTGTAGTTGGTAAGCTTGCCTTCTTTGCAAGAGCAAACCCATTTTTGTGGTGGCTGCATCTGGGGATAGAAAGTAAATTTCTGGATGCCTTTGGAGACTCACAAGTTTTCACCTTAGACCTTTGTTTCTCATACTCTAGTGGGGAGGCAAGAAAGTCTAGAAGCTTTCTTAGGTTCAGCCTGCTTAAAATCACAGTTTACAAAAACAAGAGTAAAAATAATTTTAAACACAATGTTTTAAAGACAATTTAAAAGCAGTTGAAGATTTTGGATAATTCTGTTTCTTAGGAGTCCAAGTCAAGACCTCACAAAGGGATCCAGTTTTTCAAGGAGGGATGCTCAGCATTTTCAGGAAACCATGCCCTTTTAAACTGTCATCTCAGTTATACTAGGACTGTGTTTGGTCCTTTGTTTGTAGGAGGATGTGTAACCATCAGAGTGAATGGAGTTGCAGCTGCTTGTGCACAATACAAATTTTACGTGATGAGCAGGAATGTCAACCAGCAACTGCTGGTTTTCCCTGCAAAATGAACTGGATGTTCTTGTGGTTATTTTTTCTTCCCAAAACTCATAAACAGAGGTGGTCCTACACATTCACTTCTAATGAATGATTTCCCCCTTATTAAATAAACTAAAGAATGTTGTAACTTTATAATAGTAAGAAAACTTGTCTCCTGTACTTGAAGGCTCTGGAATGACTTCCTGCCTTCATCTTAAATAGAGGGGCAAAAGGCAGGTGACAATACTTGTTTCAGCCCACCCTGTTGATTGCATTACTGAGGAGGAGACACTGATGCCAGGGTCAGCTGTTTCTTTGAAGTGGACTTTTTTAGCCCCAGGTCCTAACTCTTTTGGCACAGAAGGGTGAAAATTTAGCGGTTGTATCAGTATGCATAGCATCGACTCTCTCAGACAGTTATTGTGACACAAAAGCATTGTTTCTCATCTCTCAAGGAGTGTTTCAGACCCTCTCCATAAACCACTAACCCATCAGAAAGAAAGGATACAGTTCTCTCCTGTCTGTTTTGTTGAATTTGTGCCTGGAAGGATCCACTAAGCACCCAAAGCTGATGCAAAGAAGGTGGTGGGACATGTAGCCTCAATGAGAGAAGCTGGGGAGAGAGGAGATGGGTCATAGCAAGAAGGAACCGGGGATGAGAGCAGTGGTAACTTGAGGTTGCTTCAGCTGCTTGTGGAATTGGCATCTTAGGACTTCACAGCCTTGCTGTAGTTTTCACTGCTGTCCTAGAGCTTCCCTCTCTCCTCTGCATATAGTTTCTGCTCGTTTCTGTCCTCCTGCTTACCTCTGCCAAGGCAAAATCTACATGTACCTATCAACACAGACTTTAGGATATTAAGAAAGATCCTGCATTCACACACACACACATGCACCCTTGCTTAATGCAGTGGTTGATCCTATTACTAAGATTTTGCAGAAATAATGAAAGATTTTGGAGGCTTCTATTTGCATTGCCTAGGTCTTTTCAAAGGAATTTGTAATTCTTGTAATTAGTGTTGTCTTCTTTCAGAAAAGTGAGCTGCTTGAGCTAAAATCATGTTTACTTTTCATAGTTTTGGGTTAAAAGGCTAAACAGTGTGTTTTGTTGAGTTTTACTATCTAGTGCCTTTTTGATTACAGGTGATGCTTAAGGGTAACACTTCCTATCTGCTGAGGATTAGTACAAGACTTAAGCAAATCTTAAAGTACAGACATACTGTTTAAATGAAGTTAATTGTCGTGTAAGTCTGTTGTTGATTTGCAGCTTGAAAGTAACCCTCAGCCTTGACTCTTTAAGCAATGTGGAAGTTATGTGAGATATAATTCATGAGGAAAAAAAGATATCCGAATACTAAATTTATTTCACTGTGATTGCACATCTAGCCATTTTGACCTGGAGTATGTGTTGACAAAGCACTGTTTGAAAGCCTTTCTACATCTTTTTGCTCCTGTGTCAGCTGGTTTATTGCATGAGAGTATGCATATATCTCTGCTTATCTTTACAGAAAGTTTTGACAGGGGTAGATGACCTGCAGCAAGTGAAGGCCCTGGAGATGCGAGTAGATACAAGAGAAAAGAGCTTGGGGAACTTTGGTAAGAAAACACTTTATCTTCTGCTCACCGTCTCAAATTTTCCTTTATCGTGGCTTGAAGCAGGACTGGGGACTCAGAAACCAACAGCCAGTGTAAAGTACTGTCCTGCTCAAGAGCTCTTGAAACATAATCTCCCTGGTACCTCTCACTCCTTGATCTCTGTTTTCTTCTGTAAGGCTCTGAATAGGCCTGAAAACTATGGCAATGGGATGGGTGACACCACTTCTGTCTAAAGCCAATTAGTTTGAACAAACTCCTCTTGAATGACATGCCTCTAGGCCCTAAATGAGGATTTACTGATTACCTTGCCCTCTAGAGTACTTGGTGCTACTCTAGCGAAACAGTAGCCAAAGTTCAGTTTCTCTCCACTGTAAGATTTCCCTGTGGCTGAGAAATTGCTAGTGGTATCAGGCTGCTCATGCTGCCAGCAGCCGGTCTTTACATCCTGTACTGCCTCATTGAGCTGTGCTGGATGATGTGCTGGTGGAAGGTCCTATAGATACGTCATTTTGATGAGCTCCAAACAGCCCTAATGCTTGTGATTCGTTTCCATGTCATCATCACTGCACTGGGAAAGTAAGGAAGTACCAAAGGAATTCCCTCTGTAGCAGAGTTAACACTGAGAATATGAAACCTTCCTTTTTTCCAGTACTGGCAGTCATTTTCTGTCATGTGGATTCCCATTACAACCAAGTCCATCTTCTGCTACATTGAAGCTGAGTAACTAGTGCAGGGTAATGTTTTCTGTGCCAAAAGGAGTCACATCACCAAAAGTGGGTGCTGGTATTTTCAGCCAAGCAGTTCATTTTCATGTGCAAGTGACTATAAGTAACAGCCAATTAGCTTAGGTGGGTCTTTTGATCTCTATTTGTCAAGAATGGTTAAGCAAGTACAGTGAAGGGGGGGGGGTTGTCTTGAATTATATAGCCACTTTGAATTGGGTTATACTGTTTATTTCATAAATAGGTCTCTTTCTGATAGGCATCTGATAATTTAAGGTAAATTACATCCGTTTATTTCAGAGATCATAATCCATTCAGTCATGTTTCCTCCGGTTGATAAGAAAATCTCATTATGCCATTTCTACAATGCTTGAAAGTGGTGCTCCCATTCCTATGCCATTTTACATTAGCTGTGATAAGCTAGCAAAATGTTTCACCTTGTTCACTCTGTACTTTCCTTTCTTTTCCATTATTGAAATAAATCCCTTTCTTTCTTCTCCCTGTAATTAGGCTTTTGCAACTTTTACAAAATACAGAGCACTATTCCCATGTTGCAAACAATTTCCGTTTTGTTTATGTCCCACCGTTTGCATCAAGAGTTGGCCCTTGAGGGCTAGAAAAACCAGCAGCTGCAGATCCCCACTGCTTTTGAGAATAACAGAATATCAAGACCATCCTGAATTTCCTTCTGTCCTTGTGTCTTTTTTTTGAAAGTGCATTTCTGAATTTCCTCCCTGTGAATATCTCTTTGCAAATATCAGCAGGTGGCTAGGGCAGAAAGTCTGCCACTTAATGCTTCCAGTGCATGCAGGTTTTTTTCACATGACAGCTGATTTTTAGGCACATGGAGTAAGGCCTAAATTTTGAGCAGTATCACAGGGCAGTTTGCACCTTCAATGTGAATGGTGTAAGCAAGGCTGCTGTTGAAGGTGTCTGGGCTCATTGCATGCTCCTTGCTGGCTGCCTGCCCCTGAAAATGTGTGCTGCTGACCTGGTCTCTGGTTACAGGGGTCTGGATAAATAGCCTGAGGGAAGGAGTAGGGTAAGAACCAGACCAGCTGGAATGACAGAAGTTCCAGTGTGTTAGAAGGAAAAGCTTTTCCACCATTAGGACAGCCAAGTGATAGGGGTATCCAAAGAGGTTTAGAGTCTCCATCCTTGGAGGTTTTCAAGACCCGGCTGGGTGAAGACCTGAGCACCCTGGTGTGATCTCAAAGACCTGGCTCTGAGCAGGAGGCTGGGCTGGAGACCACTGGCTGTCTTGTCCAGCCTGGACTGCTCTGCAATTTGGTGTTTCTGTTTGCATTCCAAACCTGGCTAATTAGCTTTCTTTATAGCCATATTAAATCACTTAACGTTGTTCTCACTGTATTCCTCAGTTGCAGAAGGTGGGTAAGAACATCCTTATTTTCAAGGAATTACTTGTTCGGATGATTAGTTCGCACTCAGTAAACAATATTGTTCTAACTTTTTATGTGTAAAGAAAAAATAGGCTGTACAAGCTCTTAAATGGCCTGGTAGAACAGTTGCAAGTTACTAGACTGCACATAACTCTGGGTTACCTGGAACCTTGCAGCACTCAAACACCAAATTTACACCACAGTTTCCACTTGAGAAACGTTTCAATGTTTGCAGCCATACACAGACTGTAACACAAGCACTGAGGGCCTACATCTCCTTTAGCAAGATTTCCACAGTGATTTAAAACATGTTGTTTGAGTTTTTCTTAGGAGCATTCCACTTTGAGATGTGCTAGACTTTAAAGCACCATCCTGGTAACCTTTCCCAGTTTGTCAGGTCAGCCTCTACACAATGGCGTGACATGGTGGGGAGGAACAGTTAGGTTTCTTAGGGACAGGGTGTGGGCTAAAACACGAAACGACCGATATTAAAATTTTTTTCATGTGATCAGTTTTAAAATTGAGGAAAGGCTTCACGCCAGAGCTTGAATCTGAGTCTTAGCAGGGCTCAGGGTAATTGCTGTTTGTTTTTAGTGCACCTTACTGAGTAACAGGCGAAACACTGAACCGCTCTGGCAAGTCTTGTATCCAGCTCTGCAGATCTTGGATTTGACTTCTGTGCTCTTCAGCTGCATGTAGGCTTCAGTTCATACTCAAACAGATGGACTATTTCCTTTTCATTAGCTTGTCCTTTCGGTTTTGATTGCTGACAGATCTGGGACTGCATTCATGACTAGCTCATAGAAATCTCTGTTGAAAGTAATGGTGGGATAGAGTCATTTAAGACACTACATAGTTCTCTTATTTGTAAGTGATTTTAATAGCTACAAATCAAGTTACCCACAGTGCCGTTCGCTGGTACTTATTGAATTGTTCCCTGCTGGTGGCCAGGCTAAGTTGATTATGTGTCTGGAGACTGCTGCTTCCCTTGCACACATTTTATCAACGAAAAGCTCTGCTAAAGGTTGTCCTAAGAAGTAGGCACACGTTATTTTTCACATAGGGTCATCATCTCTCTTTTGTCTTGGTCTATTTGTCAGTATTCCTCCTGTGAAGCCGGGAGATGTTTGTCGGCTGCCAGCGTCGCAGCAGCAGGTGCTTGCGTGGTCAGGAAGCCAGTGTGGAGGCTGGAGGCGTGAGTCCGGCGTGCGCGTCCCTGCTGGTCTGGGTTTAGCTGGTACTGACAAGCCCGGCTGAGAAGGTGCCACAGCACCCGCTGTGGTAGAGCTTGCGCAGGCTCTCCAGGAGTCACAAGTACGTACTGGGGCAGTGAGCTTACATTAAACCCGGCACTGATTTGGTTTTTTTGTGAGATTCTCACCTCAGGTAGCTAGACTGCAGTTAGCTTGGGTTTGCCTGCAAGTGCTGCAGTCTTATCTCCAGTTGTGTTGTCCAATTCACCCCAGAAATGTGCAAAAAATGCACATTTAGAACACGCGTGGAAATAACATCAAGGTGAAGTATCTTGATCAAACACAGCTTAAGTGAATTAAATAGCCTGTTTAATTTATGTATCAGGTTGCTCTTGCTAGAAGAGTGCAGCCTGTGTTCACATGCCTGTTTTGTACTGTCGAATCAACCAAACACATAGGTTGCCTGATGCTAATGCAAGTATTTGTCAGTAATTTCGTTGTGTATGTTTTTCACTAGTCCATATTCCAGAAGGTATAAGAAGTCAAGCCACAATGATTTTTTGTTAACAATAGAAAAACAAGATCTATGATGCTACCTAAAGAATACATCGTAATGTAAAGTGTTACAAGTGTTGTAGCTTGTAGAATATAGTAAAACCAGCATCTTGCCAGTTTTCTCCTTACTCCTAGTCAGTTATCTAAATGTCACTTGCTGTACCAAGGTAGCTCAGAAAGACATCTGCATTGCTATCCTGCTTGTGAAACGCAGCACTTGAGGCAATGTTTTTGAGCGTGCATGTATCACTTTTATTCACCTACCTTACACTTTGATTTCTTTCTGCTCTTCATTTAGTTTTGTTCCACTGGAATAGTACAGTAAAATAGTTTAACACTAGTACATTGTTGGTGGTTAGTAATTTCAGAGCCATATAACAAAAAGGGTATTTAGTGAAAGGGAATCATAGGCAGATGAGGTAACATTGCTTGCCATTCTGAATTCTCAGCCTTGTACTGCGGTCATCAGCATTTTGCTGGACCATTCTTGTTTTTAAAAATCAAACTTATACAGTATGAAGGCAGTTTCAGGATGAGGAATATATTGTTTGTACTTTAAAAATTAATATTAGAAGTTAATATTGTTGATATTTTAAGAGTATTTTTATGTTAATGTAAGAATAAATTGCATCTTTGCTCTCGGGAAAGATGCCATGAGGGTTAAAATGAAGAAAATAGAAGTATGTTGTTACATTTGGATAGATCTCTTATTTTGTCCTCTTCATTTTACAATTTTCTCTTCTTAACTCAATCTTCCAATCTCTAATCTATATATAAGGAACTGGGACTATAAAAACCAGCAAAATCAAACAGGCATTGAATTCTTAGCACCACACATTGATATAAAACTTAAAGGAGGGAAGAACCTGCAGAACTGGAGAAATATATTGCAAAAGTCTTGTTGGCAGAATTTTGCACCACTGCACATAGTATACTTTTATTTCAGTCTAGTAAACAGCACATTAGAGCTTAACATTCTACAAGTTCCCAGGGGTAGATTGTGCCAAAATACAATAAAATGTCTGAGATGGAGGATCAGGTTACAATAATGAAATAACCAGATGTGAAAATTATATCGTCAGCCTGTCACTCTGCCTCTTTAAATCCTTTAATAGTTGGTTTTTTTCCTGAATCAACCCTAAATGCATTCAGTGGAAAGCTTTTTCTTGAGCATGTCTCTCCATTTCTCTTGAGCTAGTCTTCTTGACTACTCATTCAAATCTTCTGCTTAATACTTCTGCTTAAAAGTATTTGCTTTGTAGTGCTTTGCCTTTGCTTGGTAACCCTTTAACCTCTCTGAATCTGTGGCAAGGCTGCTGTGCTGGGACTGCATGCTTCTTGTTCTTTCCTTTAACACTTTGGGGGAAGTAATTTCATCTCTCTGTGCCTCAGGTTTCTTATCAGAAACATGATAGCATTTTTTTAAAATCTAGATTTTGATTTTTTTCTGTGGGGCTTTTCTTAGTGCATGGATTATACCTGAGGAAGCCTTTGCTCAGTAGCTAGTGTGACTGCTGTGAATAATTAACACAGATCCTAGTATCTCCCCTGTCAAGACTCCAAATTATTTTGTTACCATACTTTATAAAACTTGTTCAATGTGAGATAGTATGCACTGCAGGATGAGGATGGTGTGTTAGAATTTGTACTACATTTTTTATGGATTATGGAAAATTATTTAAAAATCAGGCTAAAAAATTGTACAATGTGTTTTGAATTTTTAATATTTTCTAAAGAGCTTTGCAAAGACATGATGTTAAGTATTTGCAGTATAGCATGAAGATCAATATGTGTATTATAATTACTCCCAAATAGCATTAGATATAGATAATGCTTATACTGAAACATGATTTATTGAAATGCTTTTGCCATAAATGTTCTTGTTCTGTTTGGGGAAATAGGATGAACAACATGACCTCTTTTGTTTGTTTTGAGGTCCCACTCCCTTTTTCTTTTTTTTATTTTTTCTATTTATTTTTGGTTTTTTTCTTTTGATACTTTGCAAAGAGCTTGAATGATGTCCTTCTGGACACTGCTAAATCACTCTTGCCAGAGAGAGATTACTCAGAGGACTCATAAAAATATTTGCTGAGAACAGATTTCAATGTTTTAGCAATGATCCAGTTGGTCTAAAATTGTTATTACTTCGACATGGGTGCATGTTATACTGGAGGATGCTCACCAGCCATGGGTAAACTCTGCTGGTGGGAATGGGTAAAAGTTTGCTGTTGTCATTAGCAAATGTTTCCTGGGACTTGAGCTTATACCCAAATTATTCTGTAGCTTGGAGAAATTTGATCTATGATTTTGGTTCAGAGATAGCTGTAGAAGCAACCAAAAAGGCAAATGTCTCTTGGGAATACAAAAAAGCATTAATCAAAGTAATAACAACAGAATACTGAGGTTTTCATAGATATGAAACTTGTACAATTGAATAGTAAACAATGGATCACATCCAGAAAGTTAAAAAGAGAAGGCAATGCTTAGCAAAACGTAAGTAGCATTTTGGGGACCTCTGAACTATAAAAGATGGTGTTGTGATGTGGAAAATTATGCTTTTGTTGTTTGACTCAAAATTACATTTTGAAGAAATGTTACTTAGCTGTGTATCCCGTAAGTTGATCACTACTTGCCATTCAGTAGGTGGAAAAAGATCTTTGGGGAGAGAAGCAAGAGCATCATGTAGATAGAAATCAGAGGTCATGGAATGCTATACTCTAAAGCATCCCTTACTTCTTCAGAGTATCACTCAGTTAATAGTCAATAAGGGTTGAGCATCAGACCAAAGAAAATAGTCACCCATCAAGCCAGTTTCTGTTGTCTGTCTAGAAAGGTGCTCTATCAGAATTGTCAGAGAGGGGTTCCAAGAGCTATAATTGGGTAGCTGTGCAAACAATAAGTATACGTTGCAAAAAATGCAAAGGGTGAAATATTTTTTGAGTGAAATAATCTCATTAATTTTCTTAGAAGAGGTCCAGCACAGATCTGGCAGAAACAGGTAAGAAATGCATGTAAAATTAGATGCTTCAACTTGTAATTGTCAGAAGTCTCCTTTACTGCCAGGTCTGCAAAGCGATTCTTTATTCTGTTCCCATAGGTGCCTATCTACCTAATCTGAGAGAACTGAAGTTGAACAATAGCTTGCTTGTGTCTGTGAGGTAAGAAATGAATGATAACTGAAACAAACATAAAGAATGACAGCCCTTGATTTTATTTAAGTGATAAAATCTTCATTTGTGCTGCTTTCATTTCTTCCATTTCCCTGTGCTGTGATAATGGATTAGGTCATGAATATATGCTCCTTAACCACATAAATTTAAGGACAGGACCTGAGCCAGAATAAATCAGTGTAGCTGCAATGGTGCCGATGAATTAGCCCCAGTCTGCCACCAGGGAAGTTCCTGCCATGCTGAAGTTCATGGAAATTTGTTGCAAATTTGAAAGGAGCTAGAAATTCGCCTCTTATCTATGTCTAAGCGCTTGGATTTCTGAGTGTTTCAGCCTTTGGGCTTTTATTGTGCACAGTAGCCTGTTCTATACTGGTCAGACCAGTTCCTCAGCTGATGAAAATCACTTTGGCTTTATTGAAGTCAATGAAGTTGGGTTTATGAGAGCTGCTGTGAAGACTGCATGTCCCTTGCTTGCCGAGGTCCATGAAAGCGTCACACATTTTCTTCCAAAGAACCAGGGAGTTGGCAGGTTGGGAAGATAGAAGTGAAAATCGTCACAATGAGGAGGCAGAGCTGTCTTCTCTCTCCTGTGCTGATATCTGTATTACCCTTGGTAATTAATGCATAGTGGAAAAGTACAGTTCATATCAGTAAATGGCTGTGTAAAGGCCATCTTTATGTTAAAGAGGACTGTCTCTGGCTTTCTACGGCTATCTGCTAAGTTTGTGGGGAAAAAAAATAGTGATTTTGCTGGTTTTTCTTAAAGAGAATGTATTCCTTGATGAGAAGTGGCAATAAATTCTTCTTGGTCTCATGCATCATCACTAAAGCAGCTAATGTACTTCAGCTGTCACACTTTGGTCTTATTTTTCCTTGTTCTGGTGATGAGATGAAGTATTTCCAGTCTAAATTTTTTTTCCACCTTCTAGTCCATAACATGGAAAAGTGGTGATTCTACAGTGCTGCAATTATTTTAATGGCAACCAACCACTGTCATAAGCATGAAATTGCTCCATTATTGCAATGGAGGAGTAAGTAGTGGGGGAAAAAAATTATATTTTTGACAATATCAAAAGACATTTTATTATATTAAAAAGAAAGAAAAATTAAACAGAGGGATTTTTTTGGTCAAAAATCAATATTCTCTTAGAACGTGTCAATGGAAAATGTTTTGACCAGTTCTGTTGGTATTGAATACAGGATGCAGTTCAGGAAAACTAAACTGTTAATTTATTTGACTTAGGGCTTTAGTAGGTTTTTGCACATCCCTTTGTATTCTGAGACTTCTGTCATGAAAACTTTTCATAAACCATTTTCTGTGACCTGACATCCTTGTGGTCCTTGATGCAGGTAACGTTTGCTCTCGAGTTTTGATTTGATCAACTATAACGTAAATGTGTTTTGGCTTGAATATCAAGTCTAATATTGTGACACTTCCCAGGCACACAAACCCCAGGAGAAGCTATCTGCTCCTCCTTTAAATAAGCATGCTTTCTGTGTGCCAGTTAAATGCAATTGTCAGGGAACAGGTAAACAAAGAAGAACAGTCTGTTAGCTCTCCCAGACCAGAACTCAGTCAGTGTAGTACAGCAGTAGCTTTCCTTTATTAATTCCCATTTTGACAATCTGTCATTGATAAACACAGATCACTTAAGGGCACAGCCCATGCAAGCACAGCCTGGGTACTTGAACTTTATTTTTGGATGTCTGCATCATGTCAATTTAATGCCCATTAAAGCAACGTTGCTGTCGCAGCAGTAGTGATGTCTGCTATAGCTAATGTAACATAGTTGCTTCTATTCTAGCTGGCTGTTGCCTTTTATTAAAAAATGTTTAAAAATCTTATTTCCAAATTAAACTTGCTGATGTTTGAATTCTGTCCAAAAAGTGACTATTTTGTTGTATTCAACCAAACCCTTGCAATTGAGGTTTTTGAGGAAGATAGAAGAAATATTCTTCCATGTCACTAAAAGTAATTCCCACAGACTTTCTCAGCCATAAGGTCAGAATTGTTGTGGTTGTAATTTGAAAATGGGCAGCAGATAACAGGAAGTGTCTCATAAGGACAGACTGGAAGATCGGTTTGTTTACTGAAAAGAAGGTAAGGACAGAAAAGCAAGCAAAAGATAGAGGGTGTTTAATATATACTTGGGATGTTAAAAGCAGACATTCTTTTCATGCTATATTATGTGAAAAAATGTATTATGGTGAATCATTACGAACAAAAGACTGTCAGGGTGTATGCATGAGTGGGTAAATAAGATGGGAAACTTGCTTTTTGTCACTTTATTTTTGTTTCGTTCTGTCTTGCGGGGTAGAATTTCCTAATTATTTTAAGATGAAATGGAATTAAACCATCTTTTCTCAGTTTGAAAACGGGGGAAGAATTCTCTTGATAGTAAACTGTGTATAGGGAGATGTCAAAATAAGGATTTATGATCCTGACTTTAGTTACTGATATTTTTGAAATGTTTACTCCTGTCAACCTCACGTAGGAACTTAAGTTGTGAGGATGCTGAGATGTGTGTTGCCATTTACCGTTCGATAGAAATCAAAGGAGGGATGTTCTGGGAGTGAGGAATTGATTGTGTATTACAATTTTCTATGGGAGAGCAAGGCTTGCTAGCTCATTGAGTTTGGATATTAGCTTTTCCTGGTAGTTCCTGAAGGATTTCTGATTCCTTTGATGGGGTGTGTGGTTGAGCTACTTTAGTTGTAAACTCTTGGTCCCTCCCCAACCCTCCTAAACCTTACTTTTGAATACTTGAAACTTTGAAAGGCTATATGTAAGTGCAGGATATTATTATCAACTATTTAATTTAATCCATGAGGAAAATACATCCAAGTGTATTTGCAGATAATCCATCTTGGCAGTTGAAAGGGAATTTCTTTTTTGGCTGTTTCTGGGTTTTAGTTTTCTACTGGCCCTTTGCTAAAGGGGAACAGCTCTGGAAAATCCAGTGTACTGTGAAAAGAAATTAGTTCAGATTATTGTTAATTTTCTAAATCGCACCAATTTTATGAGCCCCTTGTTTGGTGACCTTTGCCCATCTGCTAGCAGCTAAGAAATTCTAGATTTATAAACTGATAATTGAGGGTGAAATGTGGAGCCTATTCTGAAGAGTGCCTGTTAAAAACTGCCTTTTTTTTGTGATGACACGCGGTCCTCATCTTTGTAATGTTTCCAGTAAAAGAACTATATTTCAAGGCCAATGAATTACTACTTCTGCTTTGGCATGTAGCCTATATATTTTTTATCAGATTGCTTTTATTCTCAATTCAGGAATGAATGAAAAGTTCTGTTTAAAAATGTTAGATAGATATCTTTAAGAAAGGGCATTTAAATCAGATAGGGGAATCTAAGGAACTGGTTCCCATAAGTTTATAGCAGAAGCTGTTTCACCAGCTGAAGTTCATTTCCTCCCATTCAGCCCTATGCATTGTAGCCAGCAGAAGACTGGTCTGCTCCCAGGGCTACATAAGCAACTGGTTGTAACAGAAAGAGGTTATTATATTTTAAGTGAGATGAAATGCAGAGACTGCAGAATGAGGGGACAAAAGTAAGTATGAGAGATATAGGAAAAAAGGAAAACAGATTTCCTTCATCCAGATAGAGTTAACATTTCTTTGCTGCAGTCTGCATTGCATGCAGTTCTCAAATTGCTCTTGCCCTATTGCAGAAGAGTCCCCCAGAACAAGAGGGCAGTAATTCTGGTCCATTTGGGTCAGTAAAGTTGTCATGGGAGAGTGGAAACGAGACAGTTGTCCTGAAGGTTCAAATGAGCAAGGTGCAGAGTACATTGAAATTCAACAATTCTCATGCTTTTATGAGTCTTAGGATAGATTTTTTTTTTTTTTTTTTTTTTAAACACCAGCTCCTGGGGACAAGACTGGCTACACAGGAATCTCTGTGTTCACTTTTTGAAAATTTTCAAGCCCTCTTGACTGTGAAAAAATAACTCAAAATGGGAGCCAAGTGATTTGACTAAGGCTTTTGCTGATCATTTCATGACTTTAAGAAACCAGAGCCAAACTAATTCTTTCTTAATTGAGGGCAAGGGCTTTAAACCAATGTTTCAAAATATTTTTGAGACCTGAATCAGGATCTTTAGGAATTTGAACTTAGCAGTATTACTCCTTGGTAGTTATCCAAAAAAGAGTTTAAGCAAATGATCACCTCTTAAAGTCACAAGAAGTCTGACTTCAGTGGAACTGCTTGCAAACTGAGAATTTAACATTAGTCCAAGTGCTTTGCTGGATCTGGACCAAGTTACACCATCTTGTTTAAGACTGAGCTGTGACACTGATCAGCCCAAAATTTGATGTGTTGCTGATAGTGTGTATGTAGGCACCCACTATTTGCTGGATAGTTTTCTCTCAAACAGAAGAAATTTAGGGGCATCATTCCCCTAAATTTCTTTTTTCCTTGTCATTTTTACTTGCTCCCTTCCTTGCTCTTTTTTTTCCTCCAGTTTGCTTTTTCTTCTGCCTGTCATTTCTAATTTTTTGCAATTACTGGATTACTACATCTGATGCATGTAATGTAGGTACTACATGTAAGTGCAATGAGTTCTGTGCAACAAGGATCAGCGTTGCTTTTATGATAGATAAAATCCCCAAATATTTTCTAAAATCAATTCAGTTAGTTTGCATTAAAGATGCAAATGTTTGTCAACAGATGATTTGTTTGTATTACAGTAGTTGCCTACAGGGTTTAATGAGGGATCAGGGTGTTCTTGCTCTAGGTTGTACTTACACATGCAGTCAGAGAACCACTGCTCCTTTTTGGTTGGAGTGAATCTCTTCAGGTCCATATTTCAGTGCCCAGAGCATCACTGTTTACTTTAACATTTGCTTTTCTGAATGGGAAAAGCATTTAATTTCAAATGCAAGCTAGTTTCTTTAGGAAGTGTTTCTGTTGTTTCTTTTGTGTAGCCAGTCTGAAAGTCCTTCAGTGGTTAAGGTTGCTATGAAGTCTATCTTAAGAA